TCGCGCGTTCGCTTCCGATGGGCTTCTGAGGCCCCAGGGTGACATCGAGATGGCCCAAGAGAGCCCCAAGAGGTGCCCAGAAGGGCCCCACGACAAGCCCACGTTGCTCCAAGATCAACCCGAGAACGGCCCAAGAGGGCCCCGTAGGCAAGCCTCGACACGGGGCGCTGATCTGAGGCCCCTTACGTATTTTTTTTAGAGACAATCTCCTGGATCGGCACATGATGGCACAGGAAGGCCCCCGAGAGGGCCTCAGGAGAAGATTGCCGCAAACGCTCCAAGAATGGCCCCTTGAGCGCCACAAGATGGCTCCACGGGGGCTCCCGGGTTAGATCTGTTTCACGACGGGGCGAACCACGCCAAGGCGCACGTAGACGTAGCCAAACGGGCTGCGCCGATCCGCAATCGCAGAAGCCATAGAACGCGCGCTGCATTAAGCGCACTGGCCGCCCCTTCTTATGGGAAGCGGGTCGGCTGAATCGGGCACCGAGAGGAGGGAGGGGAGGGCGAGACGCCCACACTCAGCAATCAAGTCATCTGCCCCTCGCCTCGGTGCTGCCTCACAGGCTCAGGACTTTTCCCCACGCCGTCCCCGCCGAAATCTCTTCTGCCTCAACGTACGCGCAGAACTCTGCCAGCATCACAACGTTGTCGTTGCCGTACTCTTTGCCATCGGCGTCCCTGCCGCTGTTCATCTTCTTGAACACATCCGCCGCGCCCGCGGCGTCCATTGCAGCCGCCTTCTTGAGGCCGATGAAGCCATGATCCGCCACCTTCTTGTAGCCTGCCGCCCACTCCTCCGCCGTCATCCTGCGATCGTCGCCAGACTTGTCCTCGACGGTGCCACCACCGCCGTCGATGAGGGCGAAGGCGTCGTACATCGCCGCGTACAGGATGAGGTAGGTGCAGAGGACGCGGAACTCCTTCGCTGTCACGTAGTCGTCGCTGTGAGACGTCTTCGATTCTGCCACGTCCTTCGCATCTGTGTGGGCGCGGATGTAAGGAAGCCATAGCCATTCTGGTTTGAGGCCCCTCCTACTTGGGGCCTCCGTGCGCATTCGCCCGCGCGATCATCCAAATCAAGACCTTCTGGATCCACCCATCCACCTCGGCAAGGGACACGTAACCGTTGCCGTTGGGGTCGCAGGCCGTGAAGGCGTGAGCGCGGGCCTCCTTCCCGGCCTCGCTCTGCAGGGTCAAGCTCGCGAAGACGTCGCAGAACGTCTTGCACGCTGGGGACATGCCGGGGTGCTTGAAATCCGTTTTGTCGCCGCTGCTCAGGTAGTCTGCGAGCTCGCTGGAGCTGATGCTCCCGCTGCCGTCCTTGTCGACTTTCTTCCAGACGGTCATCACGGACGACTCCGAGATATTTGGGTCCCCTTGCTTGAGGAGCGCCTTAAACTCATCAAGGCTGATCTTGCCACTGCCATCCTTGTCATATTCGGCGAACTTGGCCTTGATGCTAGGAGGCTTGGTCTTCTTCGGCATATCCTCAAACAGATCCCGTGTCAGTCTCCCCAAACGCTTGGCCCTACTTGGAACCAGCCTGGAGCCAAAATGGCTCGGGCTTGAGCCAAAGTGGCTACGGGTGATGATGATGATGATGATGATGATGATGATGATGATGATGATGATGATGATGATGACGATGATGATTGCGGAGCAAATTCTGAAGATGTCTCTAGCGAAGCGCGGGTTTCAGCACCTCCAAGGGGGAGCCGCCAGGGGGTATCTCACTCCTCCGTTCGCGCCAAAATGGCGGGGATGCCTCGAGCGGTTTGTCTGTTTGCATGCCCACTATCCTCCGCTTTCGGAGCAGATTTGGAGGATGTCTCGAGCGAGGCGCTGGTTCTCGCACCCATGGTGGCCCAGATTGCGAGGAGGCCTCGAGCGGTTCGCTTATTTTGCTGGCCAGACTCGTGGGCACGGATCCTCCTCAGGATGCCACAGGAGGCTCCTGCAGGCTCCAGGCGGCCCCGGGAGGCCACAGGAGGTCCAAGGAAGCACCAGGAGGCCCCAGGAGGCCACAGGAGCCACAGGAAGCGCCAGGAGGTACCAGGAGGCCCCGAAGGCCCCAGGAGCCCCCACGAGGTCCCAGGAGCAGGAAGCATCAGAAGGCCACAGGAGTGGCTCGAGTCCCCGGTGTTGTACGTATGTTCCTATAGATTGAGCCTCCCCATGGAGCACGGCCCTTTGGTGTTTTACATATGCTTATGTAGATTGTCCTTCTCCTGTGTATCCACTCCTAGATGGTTTACGTATGTTCCTATAGATTGGGCCTCTCGTGGGGCACGAATCTTTTGTGTTTTACGTGTGTTCCTATAGATTGCCCGATTGCCCCCCTCCTGCGGCTCCAACCCGTTGTGTTTTGTGTACGTATGTTCCTATACATTGGACCTCTCCTTGAGGCACGAATCCTCCCCAGGAGGCTCAAGGAGGCTTCTGGAGGCCCCAGGAGGCCTCAGGAGGCCAGTGAGCCCCAAGAGGCCCCAGGAGACCCCAAGATGCTGCAGGAGGCCCCAGGAACCCCCTGGAGGCTTCGAGAGGCCCCAGAAAGCCCCAGGCTCATGCGCAGAGACGCACTAATACTACTGAGACTCATTCACACTCCAACTCATTCACAATTAGATTCACTCCCAAGCCGTCAATACTCAAGCTAATTTGTAATCGAAAACTCTCCCGCCTAGACTCTCACGGCGGACAGGCCCATGCTAACATATACAAATTTTGGGAGCTCCACGCAGTGAATAATCATTATTGTGACAGCGTGGACCTTCCTCACACACACCCTCCTCCGTTCTCCTCCTCCCCCTGATGACGATAAGAGCATGGTGACGGATGATGATGCTGATGATGATGATGATGATGATGATGATGATGGTGATGGTGATGGTGATGGTGATGATGATAATGATAATGATAATGATACTGATAATGATAATGATAATGATAATGATGATGATGATGATAACGATAACGATAACGATGATGATGATGATGATGATGATGATGATGATGATGATGATGATGATGATGATGATGATGATGGTGGTGGTGGTGGTGGTGGTGGTGTTGCTGGTGGTGATGCTGATTCTGATGCTGATGCTGATGCTGCTGCTGATGATGATTGGTTAGTTTACTGCTAATCATAATGATAATGGTGCTGCTGCTGATGATGATGCCGATGATGATGATGATGATGATGATGATGATGATGATGATGATGCTGATGTTGGTGATGGTGATGGTGATGGTGATGGTGATGGTGATGATAGTGATGATGGTGATGATGATGATGATGATGATGATGATGATGATTATGATGATGGTGGTGATGACGGTGCTGATGACAAGAGGGGCCAGATTGCAAGGATGTCTCGAGCGATTTGCCTGTTTGCATGCTCAGGGCCTCCGTTCGCGCCCAGATTGCGGGGATGTCTAAAGCAGTTTGCCTGTTTACCAACTCAACATCCTCCGCTGTCGGAACAGATTCGGAGGATGTCTCGTGCGAGACGCTGGTTTTCGCACCCCTGGTGGCCCAGATTGCGAGGAGATCTCGAGCGGTTCGCTTATTTTGCTGGCCAGACTCGTGGGCACGGATCCTCCTCAGGATGCCACAGGAGGCTCCAGCTGGCTCCAGGAGGACCCAGGAGGCCACAGGAGGTGCCAGGAGGCATCAGGAGGCCACAGGAAACCACAGGAGGCCCCAGCAGGCCCCAGGAGGCACCAGGAGGCCCCAGGAGGCCCCAGGAGGCACTGAAGAAGCACCAGGAGGCACCAGGAGGCCACAGGAGGTCACAAGAGGCCGCAGGAAGCGACAGGAGGCAACAGGAGGCCCTGGAAGGCAGGCCCAGGAAGGCTCCAGGAACCCCCACGAGGCCACAGGAGCAGGAGGCCTCAGAAGGCCGCAGGTTTGGCTCCAATCCCAAGTGTTCT